TGGGGACGCCTGGGTGGCTCGGGCGTTGAGCATCTGCCTTCGGCCCAGGGCGCGACCCGGGTCCTGGGATCTGGGATCGAGACCCTGCATGGAGCCTGCTCTCCCTCTGCCTGTGTCTCTGCCCCTCTCTCTGTGTCTCTCATGAATAAATAAATAAGATCTTTAAAAAGAAAAAGTCGCCTGCTGAAGGTTCTGGCTATAGGGACTGGTCCCCACTTGGGTTCCTACGTTGGGGCTGGTGGCTCTGGAGCTGACCCTGTTGGCCCCGGTGGCCGTCCCCCTGCTGAGGCACCCCCTCCACCGGCTCCTCCGTCCACTATTTAAATCACTGCCCTGTCCCATGCCCTGTCCTCTCTTCTCATGCCCTGTCCTGTTACTTCTTCGTTGCATCTATTCCCTTGCTGTTCTTGATACCCCAATGGAGTTGTTTGTTGCGAAATAAGTTGAGGTGTAGTCTCATAAATTCACAGGAGGAAAGGAGTCATATAGGAAAGTAACCAAGCCTAAAATTAAATTGCTGTGCATTAGTCATAGCCTAGAGAAAATTTATCTTTAGCTCATGACCCAAAATTGAAAAATATAAACAATTTAAAAATTAGAGTGTTGGTAGGTGTTTATCTTTGGGGTTCCAACGTAGGTGAGTGATGTGTACCTTTAGACTTTAATAAACCTCAGTGGTCTCACAATATATTTCTTACTATGTCAATTTGGCTTAATGAGCAATTGCATTGATTTTATTTTTGGCATTTTTGTCTCTGAAGCTTAAGGGAAACAAACATGATGCCACAAAGTAAATGAGAAAATAATCTTATATTCTGGGAGTTGAATGCTGCTTTTCTACTAGCACGAAAGTCGGGAGCACGGGCTAGATGAGCCCGAGATCTGGGACGAGGTCCTGGCTCTACCTTGTAACGCCTGTCCCTGGGCCCAATTTCTTCCTGTCTCCAGGCTCCTCGTCCGTGTCACACAGCCTGGCTGGGAGGGCACAGGGCGCCCGGAAAGCTGCAGCGCCTCTGCCGGCAGCCCCAGGGCCCGTGAGAGCAAACCATCCTCTTCAGACCGTGCTCTGGGAGAACCAAAGGCTGCTCTTCCCTGCTGAGTTTCGTGTCTTCACTATCTGCCTTCTCCTCATGGTTGGTGAATTTCCCTTTCTGCTCCCAATTTAAGAATTAAGACGTTTTTGAAGTAAATAACACGGGCACATGGTTGAAAATTCAAAAGGTACAAAGGAGTGGAAAGGAAGACTCCTTCCGGCTCCGTCCCCAGCCTTCAGCTCCCCTCCTGACGGGCAGGGCGACACCACGTCCACAGATGCCCCTAAGTGTGTGGGGTGGGGTGTGCGCGCATTGAAAAATAACGTGTGTGTGTGTGTGTGTGTGTGTGTGTGTGTGTTACGTAATAGCTTCTCTTCGGCAGCCTGCACGCCCCCTGCACCTTGCCTGGTGTCCCTCTACGTCTGTGATGGGCTCTTCTCCTCAGGCAGGGTTAGGGCTGCCCCATTCCTTTTCTGGCTGTTTGATGGCATTTTATTGAACATGCTGGGGTGGTGTCCAAGCCCTGTACTACCGCGATGGACACGCCTGTCCCTACAGCATTTGGGACCCAGGCAAGTGTGGCTGGAGGAGAAAACCAGCGACCGAGATTCCTACCCTCTGCGGTGTGAGAATGCCGCTTTCCTCACTCCCTTGCCAACAGAGCCTGATGGGTGCCCCCCCCCCAAAGAAAGGCTTCTCAGCATCCTTTTAATATGCATGTCACTTTAGGGTGCCTGGAGCCGGCATTTGACATGAGTGACGCATTTGACTCTCCTTCCCCAGGAACTACCCACAGCCTTTGTTCCTGGTTTATTATGTCTTTTTCTTATTGATTTGTAGGAGCTCTTTAGGAAATGAGCCCTTTGTGACAAGGGTTGCAAATATTTTCTCCCAGTAAGCCCTTGTATTTTTCTAATTTTATTTTATTATTTTGCCAAGAAGAAATAGCATATAATTGTGTAGCTGAATTTAACAGTCTTGTTTTCTTATGGCTTTGGGGGTCTGCAAGCTACTAAATAGGCCTCTACACTCTGAGATTGTAAATATAATTGACTGTATTTCTTATGTGTTTGTGGTTTTATTCTTACACTTAAATCTTTGCATCATTTGGAATTTATTTGTATGTTTTTCCAGCTGGTTTCTCAGTTGTCCCAACACCATTTACTGAATGACCCATCTCTCCCTTAAAAGTATGAAAAGCCACTTTATAATCCAAATTTCTATTTGAATCCTGTCTTATCCTTTCTGTGCCATGCAGTATTTCTGACTGGCAGTCTGTTTTCCCCATCCGTTTTCCTTAGGAGTTCTCAGTTTTTAGCCTTACATACTACTTCTGATTCCACAGGTGAGCATACTCTCCCCTCCCCAGGCTGCACGGGTCCCACAGGGGCACCACTAAGAAACCAACCCTGTCCTTCTAGACACCTCTTGTAGAAGAGGTTTTGAGCTTCTACCTGCAATGCTTTTTCCAGTCTTCCAATTACTCAGGACGTAGTAAGAAGTGACCAGAAGCCAGGTGAGCAGAGAGGCGGTCTCCTGGTGGGAGAAGGCGGGGCCAGCTCTGGCACCCAGCAATCTGGAGTCCTGACCTAGTGCCCATCCCTAGGAGACCATCCTTCCTTCAGAGAGTGTAAGCCTCCATTGGCTCACTGGGGGAGCAACTGCATCAGTGTTGTTAAATAGTAAGAAAGGTAATGCAGATGATACCATCCGCCACCCGATTCAGATGTAGCTCGGGTCCCAGGCCCCACATAGCACAAAGGCTCCATGGGCAGACCTGGGCAGCCCAGGCAGGACCGCTATCTGTTATGTGTTGTTCTTGTCCATGACCTCCCTTAGCCATTCCCTCTTCCCTGCTGCCCTTGGATCGTTCCTAGGAGACACAGGTAAGGTAGTAAGGGCAACCCAACTCAACTCACTATGCAGCATTCTAGGGCTGACACCTCCTGACTGGTACTTCAGCCCCAGTCGTTCTTCTGAGACCACCCTTCCAGGCCAAGTTGATCATTTATACCTGTGCTCCTCTTAGGCACATAAAACTCCTTGAATTTACTTCCCTCCAAAAAACTCATTCCTCATTCAGTTTCTCCATTTTGCTTAAATACTGTCAACAATCCAAGCCAGAAACATGGGAGATGCCCAATTGGAGGTCTTGAAAAATCACTTCTGTGTGTTCTTCTGCTTTCGGCCCACAGCCTAGTCTGGGAGGCATCCATTTGCCAGGAGAGCTTAGAATTCATTAAATAAAGATGTAGACATTGCAGCTTCTGTCTGTAGAAGCCAAGCCGCTATTTTGAGAGATATTCCAAGTTTCTTTAATGCTATTTAGCGTATCAAAGGTATAACGTGAGGTTGGAGGAAGAAGGATAATATAAAATCCCACCTTTTTGGACTCTGGGAATGATAGGAAGAGGGAAAGCCAGAGAATGAAGCCACCAGAATGAACGGCTCAACATGTGGGTCCTGAGGGCATCAGATGAATGAAGAGAAAATGAAAGCAGGAGGGTGCTCTGGGCCTGACTTCCAGGGTGGGAGGGAGCTCAGCCACAAGTGAACTTGGTCCTCTGCAGAGCAGCCAGGAGCAGGGAGACCCCCACCCAGCAGGTGGGGTGGAGGCTTGGATAAGCCCAGATTGGTTTTTGACTAAATCATTACATTTTCTCTGCACCTCTTCATAGCAGCGTGGACTGAAGCCTTAAGCCGTTACTCATTTTATGCCCTCCCCTCCCTCACTCCCACATATAATCATCATCCACTAAATCCTGTCACTTTAACTTCTTTAAGTAATATCTTTCAAACTGATCCTAGTCTCACTTTTTCCACTTCCACTGCCTGAGTGCAGACCCTAATTGCTTTTTGCGGGAAGAATGTCTGCATGCACCGCATGTCCTGTATCTCCTCTTGGATCTATCCCTCAACACAAAGTGGTCACATGATTTTCTTTATCAAAAAAAACGTCCTGCAGGATACACTTCAAATATGTGGCATTGCTTTTAAGGCCAAATCTAGTTTCTGGTCCCCTCTGTAGGCTCCTCTCTTGCCACCCCCAGCCACACAGAAACACACCAGCGCTTGTGATTCTTTGGACTCCTCCCCCTTGTCATATGCCACCCCTTCCCTCTGAACCACCCTTGTCCTGTTCTTTCACTGAGGGCTTTTCCACATCTTTGGCAGTGAGGGCTCCCTCCTTGTACAGCTAACTGTGAGCCCCTTGAGGGTGATGACACCCTGCAGTAACAGCAGGGAAGGGGGCAGTCTTAAGTGTGTGCGAGGGACACTCCAGCCACACTCTTCCCTACCCAAGCCCCAGAACACCCCAGACTACCTGCTTTGCATGTTGTTCCTTTCTTCTGAGACGACCTCCTCTCCAGGCCCATCTCAGAATTATGGCCATTCTCCAAAGTACATCGCAGATGCCATTTTGATCCCTCTCACCGCTTTACACTATCAACACACTTAAGTTCTCCTGTCAAATCGTGTTCTGCCTTGATACTTGGGTTTGCTTCCCAATTATCCCCACGCGTCCCTTAAACGATAAGCTCAGAGGATGGGCTTCGGAGGGTTTAATTCTCAGCAGTGTCAGGACCACCACTACAGGCCCTCAAGACGTGTCCGTAGACGGCCACATGGGCGCCTCGCAGGCCTCCTGTACAAAGTTCTGTAAAACTTACTGAAGGCCCAGTCACTCGTCTTGGTCCCTTGTGGGACCCGCTGGACCGTAATCCTGGCAAGGAACAGGCACCAAGAAACATCTGCGCCGTATGGAGCAGTGAAAGGGCAATAACGGGAGGGAGGCAGGTTTCCTTCAAGCGAGGCGAGGAGGCCTTTGCGGGAATGAATTCCTTCCAGCCGGGTCTCCGCGCTTGCTCCGCCCTCCCCACCTGTCCCCCGCCCTCCACCTGTCCGGCCCGGGGCTCCCGCCCGGCCCCGCCCCCTGCCCCGCCCCCGCCCCGCCCCGCCGCTCACCTGTAGGCCCAGGGCGACACGCTGCGCAGGTTGGTGGGCGGCCGGAAGCGCCGGTCGCCGGGCCTGCCCCCTGCCGGGCAGCTCGCGTTGCGCGCCTGCTCGCGCGGCCCCAGCTGCAGCGTGTGGTGGAAGGCGCCCAGGACGCCCGCCGCCAGCCGCCCGTACAGCTGCTCCAGGAGCTCCTCGGGCCGGTCGGCGCAGCCCCGCGGCCGCGCAGGCCGTCTGCTGGCCCTCGGGGCGCCCGCGGCCCGGCCCAGCGCCAGCGCCAGCAGGACGCCGAGCACCAGCATCCAGACCTGCGAGACAGGCCGCGCTCAGCGCCCGCGCGGCGGAGGAGCCCGCGCCCCCCCGCCCCCCGCGCGCCGCGGGACCGCGAGGCCGGCCCGGAGGATGGGCGCGGACCAGACGGGCCCCCGAGCGCCGCCGCCGCCCGCCCGCCGCCCGCGGGGGCCCCGGGACCCCGCCCTGCGCCGGCCCGCGCGCCCCGGGCCGCCGCCGCCGCCGCCGCCCCGAGCCGGGGGCCGCGCGGGGGGCGGCTGCGGGGTGCGCGTGTGCGTGTGCCTGCCGGGCTGCTGCGCGCTGGGCTGCGAGTGCCTGTGACGGCCGTCCGCGCCGCTTACCCCCGCACGCGCCATCCCCGCCGCCACCTCGACGCGCCGCGCCGCGCCGCGCCGCCCCGGCCGGTCCGCGCCCGCAGACTCACGCCCCCACACCCGCGTCATCCGCCCGCCCCCCCGCGGGGCTGCGCGGCCGAGGAGGGGCCGGCGCGGGGTCTCGGCGCGCTCAGCCCTGGGTGCCCGCCGCCCCGGCCGCGCTCGGCTCCCTCGGCGCTGCCCGCCCCGCGTCGTCGCCGGGCCTGGAGCGCGGCGGCCTCCGGACGGAGGGCGCTCGGCCGTGAGCCCGGCCTCCCCCCGGGGGCAGGAACGGCCGCGGCACCTGAGCAGGGCGGGCGGACGGACGTGGCGGCCGCCGAGGCCCGGCCTGTGTGCTGCGCGGCGGGCCTGGGGCACGAGGGGGGGCACGAGGGGGACCCCGAGGACCTGCCCGGCCCGGCCCGGCCCCAGAAGGCCTGCGAGGAGCTGGGCTGCAGACCTCCAGAGCTCCGAAGCGGGGCCAGCGTTGTGGAGTCGCGGGACACGGATTCTGGCTCAGGGCAAAAAGCTGCTACTAGTAATTAAAGCTCTCCAAGGACAGAACAGGCCTTCTGGAGAAACCTAGAAGGATTCTGTTCCTTAGGACGGCTTCGTCTTCTGAGACTATATGTAGTTCAAAGAAGTAAATTTATTAGGTACTAACAAGTTTCCTTTTAATAGGGCGAGGGGAGGCTGCCTGTCCTTTCCCCTACACTCTCATGAAATGAACCTTCTGTGCCTCTCCTAGCAGCGCTCACATCGAAGTACTGACACCCCCTACTTGTACTGTTACGTCTGCGAGTGGGCAGCAGCCGGTCTGTTACAATGTCGGAGCGCTCCTACTCCGTGGTGTCTGTAAGTGCAAGCAGTCTTGTAAAATAAGCCTATTTTTCTGTGGATGAATTGAAAGATATTTAAAGGAAGGAACTGTGTTGTACTTCAAAATCACAAGATGACTCGTTCATTTGTTCATTCTACAAATTAATGCTTTTTAGGTGGCAGGCTAATGAATATGGCCATTTAACAGCATTCTTCGAAAATGAAAACAAGAGACTGATACCAGCTGAAAGTGTAGAAAATAGGTAATTTATGCCTCCCTGAATGGTTTGAAGCTTTGGTATTTGACTGTTTTGTCAAGGTTTCTGTCTACTTGATTAAACTACATTTTAGTTGTGCTGTGTAGAAAAACATCACTTTTTACCTGCCTTGAACATTATGTAACATGAGTTTCAGAATTACTGCTAAAAATCCCACTGAAATCTTCAATTTAAGCAATTTACAGCTCTTCGTGAGTAAACATTTGTTTTGAGGTTATAAAACACCTTTTTCCTGACTAGTGGATAAATTGTTCATGTTCTCTGTTTCTGGTAAAATGGGAATAAAGATCAGTACTCAAATACTGTTTATTTTGTATTTGATAAAAAGTGTGGGAGTCCTCTAGAAGAAGGAGACTATCATCACAATTGTTTTCCTAGGAATATTCACCATGTCTCATTACAACAACATCCTTTCATGTGTAAGGTGACACAACTTAATTGTGCCAGACTGTTAATTATCTGTATTTCAACAAAATACCTTATATTGACTGATAACATGGCAATTTCTCTCTTCTTCTTTGATTATCTTGGAAATAGAAGATAAAATATTCACTTCCCAACAATTTCACCCGAAAAGGCTCACCTATTTGATGAAACATAAATTTTATCTTTGTGAGACTAGACAGAGTTGAGAAAATTTCTTATAAACGGACAAAAGGTTTGATTTTTTCATCAGTTACCCTCCAGTCTGAATGTACATGAGAAATCAGCATGTTAATTATTAAATCCAAATTTAAAAAAAGTCAGAAAAAGGCAACCAAGTTCTTCATGTTCCCTTAGAAATTAATTCCTCTCTGGTGCTCTTTACAGAAGATGTCACCATCCTTCTAGTCACAAAATCTTGATCTCAAGTCATCTTCCTTCCATTCCTCCTCCTCACTGCTTCTCTTACTCAACTACTCCAGTACCAGGCACAACATATAACAGACCATGCTGTCAGGAAAGATCCTTTAGGCACCGTAATTCCAAAAGCCAGTATGAGGTTGTCCACTTCCACAGTCAGCTTCTTGGGTTGCTGAGGTACCTATCTATCCAAGCTTCCTTCCCTCCTTTAAAGGACTGTCACATTTTCCCTACCAGTAGTTCTCTTTATTGCTGTCATCTTCTTGGGTAGCACCTGGATCTACCACTACTGCTCATCATGCTTGGCACCCCTAACATCCACACAGATGATTTATTCAATACCCTGGCTTCTAAATGACTACCTTCCAATCATCTTTTCTCCCATTGTATCTCAACTATCAAATCATATGATTATGCTCATTATCATTACCAATAACTGCACCATATGCAAACATAATTTCAAATACCTACTCCCTGATAACAGGCACTTTGTCTTTTCATCCACTCCTGTAATTCTCTGATTGCATCAGGTCTTCTAAACCTACCACTTTCCTACTAAGGTCTTCTAAACCTACCACTTTCCTACTAAGCATCCCATTCTTGAGTCCTTATTTCCTCCTTTGTCTAGTTTAGAGTTCATAATTCAGCACTATTACCACATCCTTGCAAACACTCTTAATCTCTTGTTCTCTTTTTCCTCTTAATATCTGCCCATGATAATCCCAACTTCATTAAAATCATACAACTTGTTGACTAGACTCCATTCTAATTTCTGACCACAAATCTCAGATTAGCGTTCAACACAGTCTTACTCCCTTTTACCAAGATGACTAATTTACATTTCATCTCTCTCAAATCTCTGCTACTCATTTCCCTCTTCATCAAATGTTCCATACCCACAGATGAGAGCTAGTTTTTTTTTTTTCTACCACTGAATATACTAACCTGTTTGCATTCACTTTCACATATCCTGCCTTCTTTCCTGATATATTTGATAAGCCCTTGACTCCAGTTGCCATTCTATCAATCATCGAATTTCTTCCTTTTGTAATAAAGTGTTCTGAGCTGTCTCCATTCTCTGGCTCCGAAACCTCACTTCCTATTTTCTGCTCAACCCACTCCAGTTGGGTATTTATCTCCAATACTTCATTGCGATAACTTTTAACAAGATTGAAATGATACAATTATTGCCAAAGTTAATTGTGTTTATCTAACTATTAAATTCTTTTGCTAACATATTTGACCACTCCCTTAGTCCTTACTTATTTTGATTAATGTTTGTATAGTGTATTTTTTCCCATCTTTTCATTTTCAACCTATCTATGACTTTATATTTAAAATGTGTCTTTTGGGTGTGTCTCCACTCAAATCAACTGGTTAAGCATCTGACTCATGATCTCAGGGTCATGAGTCCCATATTGGGCTCTACACCTAGCATGGAGCCTACTTAAAAAAAAAAAAAAGTGTCTCTTCTAAGTAATATATAGTTTGGTTTTATTTTTAATCCACTCTGATAAGCTTTGCCATTTAACTGGAATATTCAATCTTCTTTTATTTACTGTATTTAATAATGTAACATAATTACTAATATAATTAGGTTTATGTTTTTATAATTACTAACGTATAAGTACTAACATAATTGGGTTTAAATCCTACCATCCTGTTACTGGTTTTCTATCTGTCCATCTATTCTTTTTTCCTTTATTTTTCCTTTCCTGACTTTTATGGGTGAATGAAGTAATTCTGTTATATTTTATCCCTCATTAGCTTAAAAAACATATTTTGAAATGATTTCAGATTTATAGAAAAGTTGTAAAAATAGAATAACTCTATACATCCTTCACTCAAATTCATTAGTTATTAACATTTCCCCACATTTATCACTATATTTTTTCCTGACACCAAAATATGTTAGCATGTATTTCTAAGGAAGAAGGGCATTCGGTTATATAAACACAGTGTAATTATCAAAATTAGGAAATTTTATAGTTAATAGTCATGTTGTCTAATAGACCTATTGATGTATAACCAGTTGTCCCTACAGTGTCCTCTAGAGCAAATTTCCCCCAGTCCAGGATCTCCAGGTACTCTGAATGAGTACCACACACTACATTTCATTGACTTGTCTCTTTGTCTCCTTTAATCTGGAGCAGTTCCTCTGACATTTTTTGTTTTTCATGATCTTAACATTTTTGAAAAGTTCCGGGCAGTGATTTTGTAGGATGTTCAATTTGGGATCCTTTTCATGAGTAGATTCAGGCTAAATGTTTTTGGCAGTAATATCTTGGGCCCTCTCAGTGCATCACATCCGGAGGTTCATGGTTTTAATTTGTCCCATTATTGTTCATATTAATTTTGGTCACAAATTAAGGTGGTGTCCACCAAATTTATCCAAAATTAGAATGTCCCCTCTTGTAATTAATAAGTAATTTGTGGGGAAATACTTTGAGACTGTATAAATATACTTGTCTCATCAAACTTCTCTCCACTTGCTTTAGAAAAATTGATTTCTTGAATCAGCTACTATTGTGATGGTTGCAAGATGGTGATTTTCTAAGTCTTTTTTTTCTGCGTTAGTTATTCTATTAGATATTTAATCATATATATATATATTTTTTTAATCATATATTTTTTATATCAGTTGTTACTCTAGAGACTTTAATATGCATCTTTGACGTTACAGTCTGCTACTATCTGAACAATATAGTAACCTTAGAACAATTTAATACTCCTTCCCAACCCTTGGACTACTATTGTCATGTAATTTCTATATATGTTAAAACCCCATAAATCATTACTATTGTTGTTTTAAGTAGTCACTATTCTTTTATATATCCTGGTACCTCTTGGGTGCTTTTCACCCTTTCTGTCTTTCATGCTTTTGGGGATAGTTTTCCTTTAGCCTGTAGAAATACTTGTATTTTCTATAGAGCTAGCCTATGGTAATTCATTTCCTCAAATTTTGTTTGAGAAGTCTTTAACTTTAAAGTATGAAAGATATATTCAGTGGGATAGAAATCTAGGTTGGCAGGGTTTTTTTTCTTTCAGCACTTTTAAAGATACCATCTTATTGTCTTCTGGTTCCATAATTTCTATGGAAACGTAAGTCTTATGTCGTATTATTGTTCCTCTGAAGGTAGTGTGTTCTTTTTATTCTATTTTAAAGCCGTTCTTTGTCTTTGGTTTTCAGCATTTGAGCATATCTCTAGGGGGCAGTGTTCTTTGAATCTACTCTCATTGTGTTCACAGAGCTTCCTGCATCTGTGGGTTGATGCCTTTCATCAATCTGGGATAATTTTAATTTTTTTTTTTTTTTTTTTTATTTATGATAGGCACACAGTGAGAGAGAGAGAGGCAGAGACACAGGCAGAGGGAGAAGCAGGCTCCATGCACCGGGAGCCCGACGTGGGATTCGATCCCGGGTCTCCAGGATCGCGCCCTGGGCCAAAGGCAGGCGCCAAACCACTGCGCCACCCAGGGATCCCCAATCTGGGATAATTTTAGACACTGTCTCTTCAAATGTTACTTTTAATCCATTTTCTTTCCTTTCTGAGATTCCTATCATATTTATTTAAACTTCTGACCATGTCCCAAATATCTTATCATCTGCTTTAATCTTTAAAAAATTTAAAAATTTATTTTACTTAAATTCAATTAATATATAGAGTATTATTGGCAGAGATTGAGTTCAGTGATTCATTAGTTGCATATAATACCCGGTGCTCATTACATCATGTGCCCTCCTTAATTCCTATCACCCAGTTTCCCCATCCCCCCACCCACCCTCCGTTTGTTTCCTATAGTTAAGAGTCTCTTATGGTTTGTCTCCCTCTCTGATTTCTTCTTATTTTAATTTTCCCTCTCTTCCCCTATGATCTTCTGCCTTGTTTCTTAAGTTCCACATTTGAGTGAAATCATATGATAATTGTCTTTCTCTCATTGACTTATTTCGCCCAGCATAATATCCTCTAGTTCCATCTACATCATTGCAAATGCCAAGATTTCTTTTTTTTTTTTTAAGGGCTGAGTCATATTCCACTATGTATATTTACCATATCTTCTTTATCCATTCATCTGTTGATGGGCATCTGGGCTCTTTCCATAGTCTGGCTATTGTGGACATTGCTGCTATAAACATTGGGGTGTAGGTGCCCCTTTGGATCACTATGTTTGCATCCTTTGGATAAATACCTAGTAGTGCAATTGCTGGGTCATATGGTAGTTCTATTTTTAACTTCTTGGGGGAACCTCCATACTGTATTTCAGAGTGGCTGCACCAACTTGCATTCCCACCTACAGTGTAAGAGGCTCCTCTTTCTCCACATCCCCACCAACATTTGTTGTTTCCTGAATTTTTAATTTCAGCCATTCTGACTGGTGTGAGGTGATATCTCATTACAGTTTTGATTTGTATTTTCCTGATGCTGAGTGATGTTGAATATTTTTTAATG